GTTGAATGAAATAAGTCAAACAGAGAAAGACATGTATCATATGACCTCACTGATATGAGGAATTCTTAATTGCAGGAAACAAACTGAGGGTTGCTGGAGTGGGGGGTGGGGTGGGAGGGATGGGTTGACTGGTGATAGACACTGGGGAGGGTATGTGCTCTGGTAAGCGCTGTGAATTGTGCAAGACTGTGGAATCTCAGATCTGTACCTCTGAAACAAATAATGCAATATATGTTAAGAAAAAAAAAAAAGAAGAAGAAGAAGGTAGTGGGAGGGGAAGAATGAAGCGAGGGAAATTGGAGGGGTAGACGAACCATGAGAGACGATGGACTCTGAAAAACAAACTGAGGGTTCTAGAGGGGAGGGGGGTGGAAGGATGGGTTAGCCTGGTGGTGGGTACTGAGGAGGGCACATTCTGCATGGAGCACTGGGTGTTATGCACAAACAATGAATCATGGAACACTTCATCTAAAACTAATGATGTAATGTATGGGGATTAACGTAAGAATAAAAAATTTAAATAAATTTAAAAAAAATGAATTAAAGACCTAAATGTGAGACCTAAAACCATAAAAATCCTAGGACAGAACATAGGCAGTAATTCCTCTGACATTGGCTATAGCAACTTTTTTCTAGATTGGTCTCCTAAGGCAAGGGAAACAAAAGCAAAAATAAACTACTGGGACATCATCAAAATAAAATGCTTCTGCACAGCAAAGGATGCAATAAAAAAAAAACTAAACTAAAGGCAACCTACTGATTGGGAGAAGATATTTGCAAAAGGCATATCTGATAAAGGAGAAGATATTTGCAAATGGCTTATCTGATAAAGGGTTAGTATCCAAAATATATAAGCAACTGATACAACTCAACACCCCAAAAACAAATAATACAGGTTAAAAAAGAGGCAGGAGACATGAACATGTATTTCTCCAAAGAAGACATCCAGATGACAACAGACACATGAAAAGATGATCAACATCACTAATCATCAGGGAAATGCAAATCAAAACCACAATGACATATCACTTCACACCTCTCGGAATGGCTAAAATAAAGAACACAAGAAACAACAGGTGTTGGTGAGGATGTGGAGAAAAAGGAACCCTTGTGCACTGTTGGTGGGAATGCAAACTGGTGCAGCCACTGTGGAAAACGGTTTGGAGTTTCCTCAAAAAGTTAAAAATAGAACTACCCTAGGATCCAGCAATCACACTACTGGGTATTTACTGCCAAAATACAAAAACACTAATACAAAGGGATATATGTACTCCTATGTTTATAGCAGCATTATTTACAATAGCCAAATTATGGAAGCAGCCCAAGTGTCCATCAATAGATGAATGGATAAAGAAGATGTGGTGTGTGTATGAATATTCCATTATATATATGGAACATATAATTCCATATATAAAAATAAAAATAAATATATTCATATATATTATAATGGAATGAAATCTTGCCATTTGTAACAACATGGATGGATCTAGAGGGTATAATGCTAAGTGAAACAAGTCAGAGAAAGACAAATACCATACGCTTTCACTTATATGTGGAATTTAATAAACACATGAGCAAAGGAAAAAAAAGAGAGAGAGAGAAATTAAGAGACTCTTAACTATAGAGAACAAACTGATGGTCACCAGAGGGGAGGTGAGTGGGGGATGGGTGAAACAGGTGATGGGGATTAAGAATACACTTATCATGATGAGCACTGAGTAATGTATAGAATTGTTGGATCATCATATTGTACACCTGAAACTAATATAACACTGTATGTTACCTATACTGGAATTAAAAACTTAAAAGCAATTTGCTTTCTGATTACTTCCTCCCCATCTCCCAATCATACCTATTTTCTAAAAAGTTGAGGTATTCTTTGGACCTCTCTCTCACATTTATGAAAGCTTTGAGACTGGGGTGGGAGAAGCAGTCTATGGTTTATCCCCCCTTGTTCTTTTGATTGCTTTTTTATTCTCCTCCTCCTTGTTTGTTTGTTTCTTTTTCACATGCAATGAGCTTTTTATTCCTTCATCAGGAACAAAATAAAGGGAAAAACAAAAAAAATCCATGACGCCTCAAAATGACAAAGATTTGGGGAAAACGGAAATTCCATACAGGAAACAAAGATTATACCAAAGATTTTCAGGGTTAAATGGGGACTCATGATCCTTCTGCAAGGAAGATGAAAATCACAGAATTCCTAGGACAGGACATCTAGTTCAGGCACAACAGACTATATAATTTGGAGAGCCTGGTGCAAAGTGAAAATGCAGCCCGTTCAAAATATAAGAACTTTGGGCGCCTGGGTGGCTCAGTTGGTTAAGCGACTGCCTTTGGCTCAGGTCATGATCCTGGAGTCCCGGGATCGAGTCCCGCATTGGGCAACCTGCTCAGCAGGGAGTCTGCTTCTCCCTCTCCCCTCCCCCTTCTTGTGCGCTCTCTCTCAAATAAATAAATAAAATCTTAAAAAAAAAATATAAGAACTTTGACACATATAAATAGAAAGATATCTCATGTTTATGGATTGGAAGAATTAACATTGTTAAAACGTCCACACTACTCAAAGCCATTTACAGATTTAGGGAAATCCCAATCAAGATTCCAATGGCATTTTTTTACAGTAATAGAAAAAACAATCCTAAAATTCATATGGAACCACAAAAGATTCCAAGTAGCCAAAGCAATCCTGAGAAAGAAGAACAAAGTTGGAGGCATCATACTTCCTGATTTCAAACTATATTACAAAGCTGCAGTAATCAAAACAGTAAACAGACACACCGATCAATGGAACACAATAGAGAGCCTCACATGTATGGTAAACTAATATTTGACAAGGGAGCTAAGCATACTCAGTGGGAAAAAGATAGTACATAGTGTTTTCAAAAAATGGTGCTAGGAAAACTGGGAATTCATATACAAAGAAAAAAAAAAAAGGAAACTGGAGCCCTATCTTATACCATTCACAAAAACTAACTCAAACTGGATTAAAGATTTAAATGTGAGACCTGCCTGAAACCATAAAACTCCTAAAAGAAAACAGAGAAAATATATTCCTTGACATTGGTCTTGGCAATGACTTTTTTGGATATGACACCAAAGGCACAAATAAGAAAAACAAAAACAAACAAATGGAACTACATTAAACTAAAAAGCTTCTGTGCAGCAAAAGTAACAACAAGATGAAAAGGCAACCAAAGAAATGGAAGAAAATACGTTTTTTCAAACCATATATCTGATAAGGAGTTAATATCCAAAATACATAAGGAATTCCTACAACTCAATAGCAAAAACAAAAAGAACAAATAACCCAATTAAAAAATTGTCATAGGATCTGAATAGACATTTTTCCAGGGAAGATCTTCATATGGACAAGTTACCTGAAAAGGTGTACAACATCATTAACCATCAGGGAAATGTAAATCAAACCAAAACCACAATGAGAGATCACCTCACACCTGTTAACTGCTTATTATCAAAAAGGTAAGAGGTAAGTGCTAGCAAGGATGCAGAGAAAAGGGAACCCTTGTGCACTGCTGGTAGGAATGTAAACTGGTAATAGTCAGTATGGAAAATGGTATGGAGGTTCCTCAGAAAATTAAAAATAGAACTACCATATGATCCAGCAATTCTACCTCTGGGTATATATCTGCAGGAACTGAAATTACTGTCTCGGAGAGATATCTACACCTCTACGTTCATTGCATTGCAGCATGACTTACAATAGCTAAGACATGCCAACAACCTGCGCCCACTAATGGATGAATGGACAAAGAAAATTTTACAGATGTAATATTGCCCAGACATAAAATATAAGCAAGGGTGCCTCAGACCCTTGCCACTCAGAATGAAGTTGTGAAAAGACATTCATGCTTAGGTCCCAATCCTGAGATTCCTAGTGAACTGATTTGGCATGGACATTTTAAAAATTTGGCATCAACATTTAAAAAATGCTCCTCTTTAATTCTGTCATGTGACCAGGTTTAAGAACTACTGATTTAGGTTCTCCACCTGCCTCAGAAAAAAATCTGTTTCTTAATCATTCCCAAGTTGGGGATGAGTCCAAACAAGTATCAAAGAGCTTTTCTGCAACTTAAAACTCAGTTAAAAATGTTGGGCTACTCGGAGCTCCTGGGTGGCTCAGTCGGTTGAGTGTCAGACTCTTGGTTTTGGCTCAGGTTGTGATCTTGGGTCATGGGATCAAGCCCCATGACGAGCCCTGCATCAAGCCCCATGTCGAGCCCCATGTCGAGCCCCAGAGCCCCATGTCAGGCTCCACGCTCGGTGGGGGATCTGCTTGGGGCTCTCTCTCCCTCTTCCTCTGCTCCTCCCCTCACTTACACTTGCTCTCTCTCAAGTAAATAAATCTGAAAAAATAAAAAGTTGGGCTACTCTTTTGTGAAAGTCAACAAAACCCAAACATGTATCAGTATTTCCGCCTTTCTGTCCTGTTCCCTCCCAAATGAATATAAAAGAACACTGGACTATGCATCAACAGTAATCACAGAGGACCACAAACCAAAAGAAAAAAAAAGTGGCAAGTATAACTGTGCAGGATGGTCTGAAACAGATGGGGTAGAACAGCCAGAGGTGGACCAGAGAAGGAATCCTGGTGAGAGCTGCCCTATGGGATGAGTGACAGGTAAGAGCACAGAGCGCTAGGAAGCAGAGGCAAGGGGGGAAAGGTGCAGGGCTGACATAGGGGGTGGTGTTTAAGTACCTGAAGAAACACCACAAAGTACCTTAGCTTCAACATAATCTCAACACATCTCAGGTTCCCATCAGAATGTCATTAGGGCCAGGGGTCCCTCTGGTATTTGGCCAAACCCTACACACTCTTACTCTTTGCCTATTACTCCTCTGCAGAGAGGAGAGCCTTTAGCTGCAGTCTGCTGTCCTTGCTCAAGGAATCCGAAGGCCTTCATCGTAGCCCCAACGGCTAAGCCCCCTCCAGGAAGCACCTTGCCCCTTGGGAGAAAGGTCCGTGTTTGTTCTCCTACCTGTGCTCTCCTCAGCCTGATTGAAGCCACAGATCTGGCAGATGCTCTGGACCCACTTATTCATGTCCTCCTCTGTCTCAGCCACCAGATAAAAGGTGCGCTCGCTGGTCTTGATGTCAAACACAAAACTATCCTGCAGCTCCTTCTTGTTGAAGGTCAGGCCTGCATCCACCTGCTCACAGAAGTTCAGGTTGATGATCCTCAAGGGCTTCTTTGAGTGATCATTCTTGTAGTATTCCAGAACATCTGGGTCACCGCTCATCCGGCCACTCCGCAGGATAAACCAGCGTTTCTTCCAGGCCTGAATAGGAAGGAGGAAGAAGAGGGAAAAAAAGTCATTAGTTATTTCAAAGCCTCTCAACGGGTGTTCAGAAATCACTAGGTTAAGGACAGGGACTGTTGCACCTGCAGGCTGAACATGGCCCCTATCTCTCTTTCATACTTACCCAGAGTTTAAAAATTAGAGGATGATTTTAGAATGCATGTTAGTGCAACACTTCACTATGGAAACAGGGTCCTATCACTATGAAATGAGATGTGGCATCCCATTTTTTAGATCAAGAAGTTAGATGGAGACAAACATTTTTGAGCAATTATTCCCTAGGCTAGAGTACAGACTCAAACTCATAGTACTTTTATTCAGGTGGAACTTGCAAAACCATTAGCATCTCAGTATATGGACGGGGAACCCAGCAAGGCATGGTGAGAGTTAAAGCAATGTCACATACAGCAAGGAACAGAAAAACAAGTTCCTGAACTTTTAGTACATTGTGCTTTTTACCAAATGATGATGCCTTGGAAGAGTCACATAGAAAGCCTTCTAAAACTTCTCCAAAGCACAGAACTTTAGGATTTCTTTCACTATCTTGCTCACTGTGATAGCCCGAGTACTTATAATCGGGCCTTGCACATATTAAGCACTCAACGTGTATCACTGAATAAACTCCTTGTATCATGCCATACAATTTAACACTTGATTACATATTTTCTTATGCTGTCTTCTACATTCCATCTCTTCAACAAGACTGTGTCATCTATGAGCAGACACCATTACAAAGTGGTAAAAAGATGTTACATGTAACAGGGAGCTTTGGGTCGGAGTCTACGTTTAACCACTGACTTGCTGTGTGATCTGCAGGTTAAGTCACTTACTGCTTTGGAGCTTGCTTCGTGTGTAGAATGAGAATCAGTATCACCACTACCTGCCCTCCCTACCTGGCAGGGTTTTCATTATGCAAATGTACCTAGAGCACCTAGTACACAACCCTGAAACACTACAAATGCCAAGGACTAGATTATTGTATTGCAAGTGGGCCCCCAGGCCACCTCAAAATCCTACCACGGTTACATAGTCTATGATTTTCTCTTGCTCTTTGGCAACAGTCTCTGAACTTCTCTCTCTTTAAATCTCCAGCATGCCCATTCTTTTTGTTTCATGAGAAAATATAAGCAATTAAGAGAATTTACACAGGCTCCAGCACCAAATTTATCCATCAGCCTGCATCTGCAGCAAAGTAGCCTGTTACTGGGGAGCATGCACAGTTCATCTGATCTAAAGCCAATGTCCTTCCATTTGTGGCTCCCTCTCACCTACAAGGGGACACCACTCTAACACTCTCCCATTCTCTGGAATCACTGCGTTTTCCCTTCCCACTAGGATGATTCCCATCAGGACACTAACATCCCCCATCCTGGGAAAAACAATTTAAAGCTTGACTTCATCCCATATCCCCCTCCAACTCTGGCCCAGTTTTCTGATCCACTTTACAATAAAACTTCAAAAAGAGTTTTCTATACTACTGGATCTTTGTTTCCTTTCTTCCCATTCTTTTTTGGAAACCAGTATAAACAGGCTGCCCCAGTCCTACCACTGACATAACTCAACAAAGGTCTCAAAGACTTCAAGGCCGCTAATGCAACTTTTGGGTTTTACTTGATCTCTCAGCAGCACCTGATACTGGTTTGTTCTGTCCTCTTTGAATCACCTTCTACCCTTGGCTTCAGAACTCACCCTCAATTCCCCTATCCCTCTGGCCTTTTTCAGGCTCCAGTACTGGTTCCTTCTCATCTCCCTGACCTCTAAATATTGGAATGCTCCCACACTCAATTCTCAGACTCTTTCTCTTCTCTCTCTACACCCACTCCCTAGGTTATTTTATTCAGTTTCACAGCTTTAAAAACCATCTACTTGCTGCAACTCCCAAATTTATTCCTCCAGCCCAGATCCATCTATTGAACTCCAGAGTCTTATATCCAACTCTTCACTAATAGGCATCTTAAACCCAATGTGCTCAAAACTCTTCATATCCTCCAAACCTGTTCTTCCTGTAATCTTACCCATCTCAGTTAACAGCAACTCCAGCCTTCCAGGTGCTCAGACCAAATTCCTGATGTCATCATTGACTCCTTTCACATTCCACATCTAATCCAACAACAAATCCTATGGGTTCAAACAGTTCAAAATACATCTACAATCTGGTCTCTTCGCACCTCCACTATTATTCACTGGTCTAGCCCACCATTTTGGAGTCTCCCTGCTTCCACCTTTTCATCCTGCAACCAAGTCTCAACATGGAAGCTGATATAAATCAGATCATGTCACTTCTCTGCACAAAGTCCCCAAAGGCTTTCCATCTCAGAGTAAAAACCAAAGTCTGCAAAATGGCCAACGGGTCTGACTTGACGGTCATCTCTCTCTCATGCTACATCTTTTACGCCATCTCCTGCCACTCTCTGCCTTGGCCATTCTGCTCTCGCCATACTAGTCACATACTTCTGCCTCAGGGCCTTTGCTCTAGGTGTTCTGTCTGCCTGAAATACTCCGCCCCCAGACATCTTCTCTTCAAGTCTCTATTCAAATGTCCCATTATTGGGGGGGAGGGGAACATTCCTGATCACCCAATCCTAACACTCTCTTTCCCCCCTACTTTGCAATACTGGTCTTACTACTACTTATACCACCTAAAATACCACATTTTTGTTGAGTTTCTGTATCTACCACCCAAAATGTAAACACGAGGGCAAGGATTGGTTCTTTTTATTCCATGCTGCATCTTCAGTGTTTAGAATAGTGCCTGACATATAGCTGGCTATCAATGAATATGTATTGAATTAATTAATTGGCTAATCATTTTCTTTTCTTTTTTTTTTAAGGTTTTATTTATTTTTTGACAGAGAGAGACACAGTGAGAGAGGGAACACAAGCAGGGGGAGTGGAAGAGGGAGAAGCAGGCTTCCCACGGAGCAAAGAGCCCAATATGGGGCTTGATCCCAGGACGCTGGGGTCATGACCTGAGCCAATGGCAGACACTTAACGACTGAGCCACCCAGGTGCCCCTGGCTAATCATTTTCTTAAATGAACTCCTTACAGCATCTAGTAGGTTACAGGGATATAACTGGTGCCTAATAACTCTTACACTGAAATGAAGAAAAGGTATAGACAGGATAGAGCTGAAGAAAATTAAAAAAAATAAGCACTATCTATTTACAGTCACCTAAGATCTTGCCCAGGCCACTGCTTATAGAATTCTGTGTGGGCTTGTGTGTGTGTGTGCATATACAAGTGTGTGGGTAGCAAGGTACATTTTAAAAATGTATTGTTAATAGTTTAGCTTGTGTTTCAGTTCATGTGTCCCCTTCAGTGCTTGTCTTTGTAGAAAGAGCTGTCTCCAAATCACTGGTGTGCAGGTGCAAGCATAAACACACACAGACACACCCTCATAAACAAGAAAAAGGTGTCTGCTACAGATAAAATCGGAGCCTGTCAGGTTCTGTTTCCAAGGAAGTGGTGCAGGCTGATAAATGACTGCTTATCAAATGCCGATAAATTTATGGCAGAGCAGACGAGGCTGCCTAGTCTAGTCCCAAATTCTCATCCCTCTTCTGCCACACCACTTTCTCTCCAAGTCAATGCACCTTTAAAAAAAAAATCAAACAACTGAGAACCAAGTATAACCAACTCCAAAAAGTCTAGCTCCAATGACAACTTCTCTGATCCTCTTAGCTGAAATAGACCTCTACTTCCTCTGAACCTTCATATACTTTTTATGTACTTTTTATGACCTGTCATTTTCTACAACATATTACAGATATTTTTGGTATTTGTTGTTCCTTTCCAAGTAGATTATGAACATATCCTATTCTTCTAGAAATCTTTATGGTAGACATCTGCTAAATGTTACTAAGCAAGGGTCTTTATTGCTGAAACTTTCTTATCTCTCTGGCCTCATTTATGCCTCCTTCCTTCCTTCTTTCCATTCATCCATCCAACAAATATTTGTTTAGTGCTTACTATGCTGCAGGCATTATTCTAGATGCTGAGGATACAGCATGAATTACTGGTCTCCCAGAACTTACTATAGGTGCATAACAAATAACAAATTCATTTTTTTTTTAAAGATTTTATTTATTTATTCATGAGAGACAGAGAGAGAGAGGCAGAGGGAGAAGCAGGCTCCCAAGGAGCAGGGAGCCCGATGTGGGACTCGATCCCAGGACCCTGAGATCATGACCTGAGCCGAAGGCAGACGCTTAACCATCTGAGCCACCCAGGCGCCCACAAATAACAAATTCAATATTCAAAAATCAATCAGTGTAATCCACTATACTAATAGGCTAAAGAAAAACCACACGGTCGTATCAATTGATGCAGAGTAAAGCATCTGACAAAATTTGACACCTATTCATAAAACTCAAAAAAATAGGAAGAGAGGAGGAGCTTCCTCAGTTTGATAAAAAGCATCAACAAAAGATCAACACCAACATTATACTTTGTAATTAATGCTTTTCCCCTAAAATCAGGAACAAGGCAAGGATGTCTGCTCACTCTCACCACTCTTATTCAACACGGTGCTGAAAGTTCTAGTCAGGGCAATAAAGAAATAGATATAAAAGGCATACAAATTAGAAAGGAAGAAAAAAATTGTCCCTATTTGCAGAAGACATAATTTTCCACACAGAAAATCCCAAGGAATTTAGAAAAAAAAATACTCAAAAAAACTCCTGAAACTAATAAGTGACCCCATCAAGGTCACAGGATACAAGATGAACATATAAAAATCATTCGCTTCTACATACCAGCAGTGAACACGTGGGGATAGAGAATAAAAATAAAATGCCATTCATAGTTTGTTTTTAAACAATGAAATAGGTATAAATCTAACAAAATATGTATAGGACATGTATGCTGATAGCTATACAGTGCTGATGAAAGGAAAAAAGAAAACCACATGGAGAAGTATACCATGTTCATGGATTAGAAGACTCAACATAGTACATCTCCCCAAACTGATGCTCAGATT